CTCAAACCTCCAGAAGCAAAAGGATGATGCAAACCACACAATTTAAATGTCAATTTATTATCAGCGGTGTGTGAAGCGACTTCTACTGAGCACAACGGTGAAATCAGCTGATCACAGAGGACACAATTCTGTGGTTTAACTGATGAAGTGATTTTTCCAGAAGAGAAACTATAGCTAAGTTGGCGTCTTACAAAAAAGTGACTTATGGTTTATTAGACAAATTGCATCAATATGATTGAATTTGGTCCCCCTTTACAAGCTGGCTTTCTGTAACTTGAAGAACAGAAGAGTAATGACAGAGTGGTGGTGTGGGGATTGGTGTGCGAAGAAAGAATAGGATAACTTTCCCTTGTTTTGGGTTTTTTTTTGTGTGTTTTGTTTTTTGTTTTGTTTTTGTTTGTTTTTTAAACTATTTATTTATGTAGTTATCCTTAAGTTCTGTTATTGAAGTTTAAAATGAAATAAATAAAAATTGTTGATGACAAAAAAAAAGAAGAGAAACTAGAGCCAGATCCACAGAGCGAACCATCAGTAGACGAAATCAAACACCTTATTTGGTGTTTGGGTTTATTTTGTAGTTAAATTAATACAAATGAGTTAATAGTGTCTATAGAGAATGTTTGTTATTAATCTCTGTCTCTCTTCCACAGCATGTCTTTATCCTGTCTTCCTTCTCTCACCCCAACCAATCACAGCAGATGGCCCCGCCCCTCCCTGAGCCTGGTTCTGCTGGAGGTTTCTTCCTGTTAAAAGGGAGTTTTTCCTTCCCACTGTCGCCAAAGTGCTGCTCATAGGGGGTCATATGATTGTTGGGTTTTTCTCTGTATCTATGAAGCGCCTTGAGGCGACTTTTGTTGTGATTTGGTGCTTTATAAATAAAATTGAATTGAATTGAAAATTGGACTTTGCTAAACTGACCCAGTATTAACCTCTAAGACCTGAACTCTTTCATGCATTTTTAATTTCTCTTTGCTATTTGGGCTGATTGGGACCTGATGAATGTAAAAACAAAGAATTACTGTATTTTTTTATTTTACCTGATTTTTGTTTCTGAGAAAAATGAGATCCACATACGAGGACATTCGTTTTAAATTTCGATAGGACAGTGGCAGTATAGTGTCCTCGTTAGTGGATATCAGGCCCTTGTAGAGCAAAATTTAGTATAGACAACCCAAAATGTGACGTCAGGTCCTAGGAGGTTAAATCCAGCCTTGGCCACACTGTGTTAGGGGTTAGATGAGTCCTCACCTTTACTTTCTGTTGGTGGTGGTATATCTGCCAGGCAATATGGACATGCATGGCACACCACTTCCCCGGTTTCTGTAAGAACAAGAAAGAAAATGGTGTGACTAAAAAACACAGTGTCATCTAATCAATACGGTACTATGACTACTAATCACAGATTAAAAGGCTAAGAAATGTAGGTGTGCTGGATGAACCGTGCACATGCTGGTGTGTGACAGTGAGGCGTCACTGTCGGCCATCTGACAAGCTTTCATAACACACGCGCTGCAGCGTTCTTCAAAATGAGCCCCGTGAACGGGTACACTCAGCCCCCATTTAATTAAAGACACTATCAACTCCATTAGCAAAGACCTTCAAGGCATCGCAGTGATTATTGCGAGGGAGCAGGAGACGGCGACACTGCAGGGAGCGAGCACTCACCCTGAGAATCGGCCGAAACGGATCCGTTAGCTGCAGGAAGGACGGAGAGAGAGAACATGAATTATTCTGCTGTCAGTCAAATCATTTCTAATTAGTCCTTGTGTGTAGCGTTCATTAGGAACCAAATTAAAATGTCAAACTGTTCACTTTAAAATTAAGCGTTTCAGGGGTAATTAACACACGGGTGTTTAAACGGGTTCCTTCTGCGGCCTTCTGCAAACAAATATGGCAGCTGAGAGGAAGACACGCTGACACGTCTGTCAATCTACGACTCACCGCTGATCAATAGATCAGAAATAGACTCTATGTGGTAAATTATTCATGTATATTTTAATGCATTTTAACACTTCCTCTGAATTTCAACACTTCCTGTATGAGAACAGCTTGCTTGCTGAGGCTGCTGCTAATGTGCATCCTAATAAAGCAAACCTGTGCAGTCCTGGTGCACGGTGGGTGGCGTGTACGTGCTCTTACCCTGGGGTCCTTCTGTAAGAACGTGTGTGGGACGGCTCCGGGTCTTGCGGAAACATCCAGTGGATTAGAGGTCTGGAGAGCAGCAGACGGATCGAAAAATGACTCTCTGAATATAACTCGCCCCCTCCCGGCTAGTCTGTCTGTGGGTGTGTGGTGGTGTCTCACCTTGGGCTGAAAGGCCCCCTGCAGCGAGCTGAAGGGCCCGGTGGGGGGGATGACAGGGGGAAGGCCAGACATGGCTGGAGGGTAGGAGTGGAAGAGCTGGGAGAAGAAAAGAGCGAGAGGAGGCGTGAGGACGATTCGGTCTATCGGTGAAATGCGGCTTTATGAGTCAGTCTAAGCAGAGCGAGCAGTTCGTGGTGGTGTTTAAACCTCGCAGTTTAATCGCAGCGACTGCTTAGTTACAAATGATTGCCTACGTGTTACACAAACGGGTTGTTTATCAAATATTCACCGCTTGTTCCCGCTGGATTTAAATCAGGAGAAAAAACCTTTGATATGAAAAGCAGAATGTTGTAATACACGCAAAACACAAGTAAGTCAAACAAGCGCTCAAGGCTTTCATAAACGTATCTGTATGTAGAGAAACAGATATGCAATCATCTGCTTTGCATAATTGTCCCTAACAGTCATATTAGCCAAAGTAACGTGTTTGGCAAACATGCTTGCGTTGCTGCAGTCGTGCATTGGAATTCTTTAAAGCTGGACTCGAGGGCGCGCTGCAAGCTTTTTAAATGCAACTCCACTCCTCTTGTGCACCAAGTATTAAGATGCCACTATGTTTTATAGAGAAGGAATGCTTTCAGCGTGTTTGCCGGGACCATTATACCAGCGGGGGAAAAAACAAAAAAAGATGAAGCACTTAAAAACAAACTAGGAAGCGGGTCGATCTGAATACAAATAGGTTTTTATGATAGTAAAATCTGCCTGCTAGCTATCGAGGACAAATCAGTTTAATAGTGTGTAGAAAAAGCACACTAGGCAGAAGCACGCTCTGAAAATTTCAGCAAAACGGTAGGACGGCGAGGCCGGTGTTTGAAATCATTCGCTTTTATTGAATAATAATTTTGAGGACGCCACTGCTGGTGACTGGAAAAAAGGAAATAAGCGAGACGGAGAGGTAACGTAGCAACTGTGTTTATCATCACATGCACACAGTAAATGTTAAACTCCAGGATTTAAGAATCCTGATCTGTTGCATCACATCAGCTAGCATTAGCTATGGCGAAGGGTGACAGGAAGCAGATGAATGGAGGCCGACAGTAAAGTGCATGGGCTGAAATGGCAAAATGGGCAAGCAACAAATGGCTGTGAAGCTGGAAGCTAGTACGCAGTAGAGAAACTCACACTGTGTCTGTAGAAGGGGTCGACTTTTGTTGGATATTTGTCAAACTGTAGGAGAAATGAAACAGAGCTAAGTACAAAGATTGGCCTCTTTTGTTTCAGGCCGACACACAAAAAAACATCACAAACTGCATTTAAAAGTGAAAATATGATTACAGATGAAGATCTAAGACGTCTACCGAGCGGGATCCAAGTTCAACCACAATGTTTTCATCCTCCCCCGTTTCCTGATCATCTGAAGACCTTGTAAACTAGCATGAGCTGGCTCTCATTTGGTTGGCTTTTAGTGGTGCGGCGCAGGCTCAGGGCGAACATTTCCACAGTCAAGACTAAACACTGCAGCCATAAAGAGCCTTTTTATGGCCTCATTAGCTGTCAGAGGCCTCGCTATGCTGCCTTTGAGGTATCATCAGAGCCAAGCAAACCTCTGTGGGTCAGGCAGTTACAAATGTGTATGTGTTTGCGAGAGTTTAGGTTCAGGCACCCATTGCCTGTGGTTCTCTCCCAAACTGCGCGGCTCTTAATGCAATACATTTGCCAGTAATGAAAACCCCCAAATGGGACCAAATGATGTCATTAAAATCAGAATGAATTAAGTGTATTATGTTCTGAAAGCTGGCTCTGAAGTTAACATGCTCCAGGGCGAGTTATTGCCAATTTAGAAAATAACAGCGTTCAAGTCTGGAGTCTCAGCG